GTGGGAAGTCTAGGTCTGCTCTGCTTTTGCACGAACGGAGCAAAGCCATAGAAAAGCCTGCAATTCCACATCCCCAGCTCACTGAAAATGCAAATCACCACATATAGATCTCGACCTGTGCGATCTGAAGGTGTGGATGCCACACTGAGGGGCTGTCAGTCATTTCATGAGCTCACCAACATTTGTATTTGCTGCTCACTGACGTAATTTTGTGTCTGCAAGCAACTGAGAATAGCGTTATTTGTGTGTAGGAGATTGCTTCAGTGAACATTGCTGGTACGGATCAAATCATTTTTTGAGAAATGGCATTTGCCTGGTTTTATGCGCCACTGAGTCACTCGTAAGCACTTATAAATATTTAGATATTCTGCTCCTGCAAGAGTGTGCGCAGACATTTGATACGGTTTGCACTACATCACTTCTGAAGCACAACTCCACACTGCAAATTCTTTCATTTAAAACCAAGATTAACAAATCAATGCACCCCGAGGAGCAGTTTAAAAGCACCGGGACGTTGTATTCTGGTGAGCTTTCTTTGCTATTCGTAGAGAATGGATTTCCAATAACAACTTGTAATTAGTTCATTTTCTCTTATTCAGTCATTATATATTAAGCCTGCTGACATTTTCCAGGCGGTATCTTTTGAAATGAGAGGTATTTCAAGAACTACTGGAGATTGGCAGTTCCCACCATGTGCACCACCAGGAGGAGACGCTCTCTGCCTTAATCAGACAGCAATTCCTGACCAAAAGAACCCACACAATCATTCCAACCATGTCTACCCTACCAGAAATTTTCACTTTAGACACTAAGGTGCAGAATGGCACCTTATCTAACATCTAGCTAAATGGCTTACAAATTCTGCTTTCTGCCCCACGGTTAGCTTTTAGCTTATTTTTGCTGCAAGAATTCACCGTTACATTCATTATTCCAGAACCCCCCCCAGAATTGCCATTATCCTCAGCAACACAGCTGCATGGGACCCCTCAAGGCAGCCTGGAGCTGCTCACATTGGCCAGCAAAGGAAAGCTCATCTTGTTCCCAAGCACTGCGGCACCCCAAACATCGCCGCCAACCCAAAGCACCGCCGCGCTGCTCTGCTTGCTGAGGCGTGTTTGAAGTCTGGATATCACATCACTCACAGGAGAAACAAATCAATGTTGGTAAGCTAATGAATTATTTCCAACTCCGTAGCAATATCTGCAGCAACATGAAAGAAAAATCACATACAAAGGAGATTGCAGCTGAAGAGGCTGAGCGCGGTGCGCAGACTGTCAATATTTTTGGACTACGATTTGATCCTGTTGATAACTGACGCTATAATATTGCTAAAGAAAAAACCTCAAGCAAAATTTTATCTCACAATATAGTTGTCCAATATAATTAACCAGGCTTGACCGATCTGACTGGGAGATAGCAGCAACACATGTCCAACCCTACGTGCCACACCGACGGGGAGGACTGGGCTGTAACACACAGCCCTGGAATGGAACTCACAGCTGCAATTCCTGCTGGACACCTGGGCTGCCAGGCGGACGTGAAATACATTGATTGCAGACATTTCCAAACACACTCGTTCCATTCTCTTCAAACATGAGTTATTCCTATCTTTCCTTAAGTCCTGAGAATAGAAGCTCTCCCATGTGCCCTGCATCCCCTGCTCCTTTCCCCAGGCACATCTCTGCCTGTCCTGGCTGGCATGAATCCTCAGTGTTTGGCTGACAGCTACAAAGCTCCGTCTCCAAGAATCACCCCTCAAAAATAAATCTGCTTTATACTCTGCTGTGCAGATTTGGCTCAGGAAGATGTCCAGAGTCAGGAAGGAACAGCCCCATGTGTCTTACTTACGGAGCCTGGAGCCCAACCCACTGCTGCTCCTCTACACTGGCACTGATTTACCCAACAGCCATGCCCAGCCCTGGCTCCTCACTCCTTTTATTTCCTCAAATTCACCCACAGTACATTGTTCACTAAGTATTAAGGCCAGTTCAACAAGGGAAATCTGAATTAAAGCAAAATCAGAGAACAGCACAAGCTTCTTACAAAGAGCACAACAGCACAATCACAAGCCAACACCAGCAAGTTTAGGAGTGAAAAGAGCACACTGATCCCACAGCCTCTTCTGCACTCATTCCTGCACTAAATGGATGGTTGGACTGGGTGATCCTGTGGGTCTTTTCCAACCTCGGTGATTCTATGATTGTATAAATGCATTTAAACTGTGTTTGTGTTCTTTAGATAACAGCACATCTCACAGCCAGCAGCATTTCCCTGCTGTCAGAACAACAGCTATGGGGTAGGAAGGATGCTTACAAAAGGCCTTTTCGTGCTCTCTGAGGTACGGCAAAATGCACAGGCAAGCTGTCAGAAGGGCGTGCTGCTTAGGAGAGAGTCCTAGTTGGCAGTGAGCTAGAACTTAAGGGGATTTTATCACAGGGTTAATAGCTTCTTATTAGCTAAACAATGATGACAAGATAAAGGCATTTTGATGGGATGCATGTTTTCCCTCTCTTTGACATATTTGTGTTACAAATGGACCTGTCCACATTGATGCTAATATAGATCCAGAAGATTACACTGATTTTCTCAGCTGGGCTTTCACATCTGCCAACCTGCTACTTTCCCATTAGGGAAGACAACGGGTAAGCCAAAAGTGACATGCCTAATTCTAATGACCTCCAGTCAGATACTGTTCCAGAAGTTATATCCAAACATCACTCATCTGAGTGTATTTAAAGCTCGACTCAGCTGGGCGGTGTGCTTGCCAATTTCCTTGACCATCTCCATGCTGATTAATTAGGTGCATGCACTGCTGTAGTACTGATATAAACGAAGCTTCTTATTTATTACTCATCTATTGAATCTTTTCTGAAAATATCAATAAGAAAACAGACAAGTACACTTAGTACTACACTTTCTATCTTTGGAACGTGAAAATCTTTGAGTTCATCATCTTAAAAATGAATTTCTTTTCATTACTGCCCTAATCCTGTTTATCTAATAAAACTTACTAATAAGAAATAAGAAGACACCTAAACTTGTTCTTTCCAGAGCTGCCAGGAGAACATTTAAACTGTCTCAGATGTTACTCATCGTGTACAAATGATTAGGATGATTTGGAAAGTGATACTTTAATCCTCTGCTAATAGATATTTCCATTCATCCTCATACACAAAAGCAAATTGCTAAAAATTGTGTTCTTGTTATTCAGGGATAAAAGAATTTTCAGAAAAAATAGAATAAAGACGATACATTAGAGAGGGTTAGGAGGAGGGCTGCTATTTCTACCCTCAATCTGATACTCTGCACTGAAATGCATATGTAATTGATTAGCGTGATTAGAAATGATTATTAAAAGCAGCACCTATTACATGTAGGAGTTGTAATGGTGAGACCAGGTTTCAATAAGGCAAGGCATTGCATTTCTTCTCACCCACACAGCTTTCATTCACTCTCAGCTGACCAGCAGGGCACAGAACCAAAGATGCCCTTTGGACCTGTGTGGGCCCCAGAGGGAGAAGATGGGTCAAAAAAAGGCAAGAGCCAACCGTGGAGTGAGGAGGTACAATTCTGTGTCTCTGTAAGCTGCAGAAAGGCCATGGGAGTCAAGAAAATGAATTGCAGCTTCAAAACTGTGGCAAGAATGACAAATTGGAAAGCTCTTTGCTTCATCAAGGTCATCTTCAAACCTTTCCAAACTGCAACACCGCACCGGAGCGCGGCACGCTGAGACAGACCTAACGGAGGTTTTGAGAGGATAAATCAGATTGAGACTTCCTGATGTCACTGAATTCTGAAAGTCAAGTTCCTCAATCTGCAGAGCAGCCATCCCCACTGCTGGCACACAGAAATAAGTGACTTGGCTGAATTCTAAGCAACACAACGTGAAAAATGTGCCTGATGTACTACAAAACTACTGCCAGGGGCCAGGGCTGCCTCATAATGAAGAACAAAGCTCATAAACATATTTTTGAGAAGTTGTTCCCAGACAGTGCAATAAAGTAAAAAGCCAGGCTTTAACCAAGCACTGAAGTTCACATGCAGAATACTGTAAAGTTTCCAAAGTTGCAAGCAACGTGCTTTGTTTTTTAATTGAAAACCAACGACCAATAAATGCTCTGGATAAAAGCAGGGATTCCGGGAAATTGAAAATAGAGAAATCTGAACTTTAGTTTCTTTTAATATTCAAAATCCTTTTGATAAATCCTCAATACGCCGTGCTTTTTTGCAGCAATACTTTCTGCAGTTTATCGATTATTTCCCCTGTTCCTGGGGTAATATTTTGTACCTGTCCTATTTTCATTGCCTGCTTAAAATCCACTGAACCAAGAACTCATACAGATGACTTGTGGAATTTAGCTTCAAGTTCCCGTGACTTTGAGAATGCGTTGATCCAAATACACTCCCAAATAACTGCATGTCAAACCTTTATAGCTGGGGTAACTCACTTGATCACCTTCTTAACGGATGAAGTTTTATGTTTTACTGTATATCTGCTGCTTTGAGTGTGCTGTGTTGAATTAAATATATATGTGGTTCAAATAGGTGCAAGGTGATTACTGGGGCTAGTCTGAAAGCACATCAAATGTTATTATCCAAAGTTGCTTTTTTTAAAATGAAAGTCAAGCAAATTGAAACATTCCCTTTAGAAAGATGACGTTTGGCAAAAACAGCTTGTACATATTGTTTCCTCAGAGCTACTCAGGAGCCACACGCTCACGGCTACATACATGGCATTCCCCAACATCTCTCAACAGCCACCAACAAGATGCCATCAGCCCAAAGCATGAGAAAACCCACAAGAACACTGAGTCCCACACGCTTTTACCAACCTCCTGGCTCTTGCCCACCCTTTGAAGCACAGCAATCTTTAAAAACAAGCCTTACATGAAATACAAAAAGGGATCACCTTTGCTGACCATGCCTGAGCAGAGAGCACTGCCATCTCAGATATTCACATGCTTTCAATACTGAGGACAGACAGAAGCATCAGGACTTACGGAAGGCCGTGTAGAGCTCTTGCAGGGTCAAGCGCCCGTCGTTGTTATAATCATCAAACCGGAGGAGGTCTTCCAGCGTACAATCCAATAAATCACCTTCCAGATCCTCTTTCTTCATTACCTGCAGCAGAGAAAACGCTCAACCTCACTGCAAAGCTACAGACGGTGGCTCTGAGTCACCCAGCAGATGCGCCATTAAATGACCCTTGGGCAGTACCCTCCTCTTCCTCCTCAGAGGGCCATGAGGATGGTCACAACTCGGCCCCCAGCACCATGAAACCCTCCAAGCTGGAGCTCTGACTTGGCACAAACTTGGCTCGGGGTGCCAGCTGCTGGCACTGGTGCATGAGAATTTTCTGAATGCCTCTGAGCAGCAGAGGCTTTGGAGAACAGTGCTTTCGTAAGTCAGCAGATTAGGACCAGGTTTATAGGGCAAAGAGGAAAAAAAAGTATCACTCCACAAGTGCTTTCATCTTCCCCTTTAGGACTGGAACAAGCAAGAGATGGTGGTATAGTCAAAATGAATGTGTTTTTTCAGTCCTCAACAGTTTGTTTCTTCTGCATGCAAAGGATTTCACACATTCCACACGAAAAATGAAGAGAGATTTGAAAGTCATACATCCAAGTTAGCAAACAGTTAAACTCAGACCTAAGCATAATGAAAACAATGGCTTCTCTGAATTTATTGTGGAACATGAAGAAAACTCCTGAAATACTGCATGTCCCAGGCAGGAAGGCTTTTGCTGCAATCCAGAGACTCTCTTATTTACTCCTCTAGTCTTGGCCCATTATATTGAAGCAATTTAAAGCAATAATGCTTAAAAAATGACCCTTCACCTAGCCAGTAAAAATGTTCAATAAAAGTGAGATCAACCATAACATTTGAGATCAATCTTCTAAAGATGGAAATTTCCCTTTATCTTTGTATTGAAAATTGATCAGCTTTTCATCAGACTACAAGTTTTTTTACTAGTCCTTTTGATTTAATGTCAGGAGACAAAAAAAAAAAACCAACACACAAGGCACTTCAGCTGCAATGTGTTCAGTGGATTTATGAATCTGACTAGAAAATACATTCAGGTTTTAAATGGAAATACCATTCCAATTACTACCTTTGTTAATAGATTTGTATACCTATGGCTGCAGGACAACATGGGTGCTTCACACTGCTGGGTCCGGAGGGAAACACAGCTCAATGAAATCCATTGGCAGTGAGGACACAGAGCAGGCTCTACACAGAAGGGATGGATCATCTGCTGTCACTCTTTCTCTCAAAGCAATTGTGTAATGGACAGTAAGCAAATAAGCACAGGCCCTCAACTGTGTCCCTGTGCTGGAAGCTACCTTGGCACTGGACTGTCCTTGCTGCAGGGACTCTATTTCCAGTTTCTCCTCTGGGACAAATCCCTCTGCACTGAGCCTCCTAAAGACCCCTTTCAGGCTTTAAAAATGACTGTTTTGTCTCTTGGGTTGTTGTTTTTTTTTGTGCTTTTTGTTTCCTGCAGCAGTGTGTGCTACCTGCCTCAGGTTGTTTCTTGCAGACAAGGTTATGGTGCTCAAGAGACTATTTTTCTTTTAAGTAAAACAAAGAAAATGCACAACAACAGCTCATCCAGCGGCCAGAGAGAATGAGATCACATGCCTCCCTGTGCACCATGCTCATTTTATCTGCCTCTACCCATGGGCAATAAAACTCCCATTTTCGGAGGAACTTTAAAGTTGTGGTGAGCTTCAGATTAAAAGAGCCAACACAAATCAGTCACAGATCTGCCTCTCAAGGCAAGAAACTTTCTCTTAAGGCTGTAACACTGAAAATTAAAAATTGCTCATTGCCTACAAAAAATCCCTTGGAAGCAGAGTGAATAAAGCAGACAGGTGAAAGCAGATGGAAGTCATCCTGGCTTGGAGCTAAGAAGAAATATAGGTGGTGTGAGAGCCCCAGGGTTCAGGTGGTGCCCAGCACAGCCTGACCTGCCCACACTGCCCCAGTGGGGCCCACAGCACTGCAGTTCAGCTCAGGATTAAAGGCATCCCCAGCCCCTCTGCAATCAGCATTACCTGGTGTTGCTTTGTCTTTTGAGAGGTGCTGGCACTTTGTCAGCCTTTGCGTGTGCACAGAGGACGTGTGGCTGAGTGGGCTCCAGCTGAGGGCTGGACTTTGTCAGTTCATTACACTGCAGCAAGCAACAGAGCTGCAAACACGTTTACTGAGTTTGATGATATAGTTAGAAGAATTAAACAAAAAACTTGCAGCCAATTCCTTTGCTTGCTGTTGCGCCTGGAGCCCTCTCTGTGCTCTTTCTCACACTCAGATGTAACTGTGCAAAAGCAGGCTTTGAATTCAGAGAGAAGTGCCCTCTTATCCCTACCCATGCCTTTATAAGAGATCACTGAATTCAGATGAAGTATTGTATACATTCATAGCTCAGATCTAAGGGAATTTATGCTGACACTTTGCATTGTGCAGGCAGGACTGTGCATCGTGTCAACAGCATTAGGATTAAAATTCAGAGCAAATCCATTGCAAGTGGTCCTGCTTGGGGAGCAGCAAGCTTGCGCTGTCCTCATAGAACATAGAGAACCACAAGAGCAATGTGGGGACACTTTACAGAACATAGAGAACCACAAGATCAATGTGGGGACACTCTCCCATATCTGGTGTAGTGCTGCTGCTCATATTTATAAGGCTGCTTTGTCAAATTTTCACACTAAGAAAACAAGTTCAGGACACAAAGTAATCAGCAGAAGTGCCTGCGCTGGTTCACTTTACCAATTAGATGAATTCCAACAGCACAGCAGGCCCATAATTAGAAATAACAGTTTCTTCAGGCTCTCACCTTTTCAAATGTTATTAGGATCAGCTAATCAAAATTTCAGTATCTGCCTCAACACCCTGGCAAAATAAACCTCTTAAAAGTATTCTAACTTTACTGTCGTGTCACCATACAATCCAGAAAAGAGGAGGAAGAAGGAAAGGATTTCTTCCTAACTTACATAGAATCAAAAGCTACCTGGAAATGTCGGAGATGATTGCTAGCAGTGAGGATTATCAGCTATTCTCAGGAGCAAGGATGATGCTGGAAAACTGCCATGTTGTTGTTGTGGAGGATCACCAAGTGTTGGACACCACACCGGAGATGCAGAGGCAGACGTGGGGGCTGCAGCATCACCGCTCCCCCTGCTGTGGCACAGCCAACCTCTCCTTTCCAATAAGAAACACAACCCACTCCATTTGCACCCAACAAAGCACCCACCTGTGCCAGCTCCGAGCTGCTGAGGTGCCCATCCCTGTTTTCATCCAGGTGCTGGAAGAGCTCCTCCACCAAAGCACGTTTCGGGGCAGCCCTGTCGGCGGCTGGGCGGCGCGGTGGGGCTGAGCGCTGTGCCTGCAGCTCCAACACGACGCCCTTCAGCCGCCTGTAGCTGGCCATGGTGCACGTGTCACCTGGAAGAGAGGGAAGGAGGGATGCGTTACTGCACGGGGATCCTTTAAGGGATTCTGCTTCTGAAGCAATGATAAATATGGCACAGCCAAAGCCGAGCTGTCTGCACACACGGCACCGCGCCAGGCTGCGCCTTGCAGCTCCTGCAGTGGTCATCCTTTGTAGGAGCTGACAGTTTGGCTGAGCCCTGCTGTCAGGGCTGTCTCCAGAACGTTGCCTTGCAGATGATAGGGCTTTGCTAACAGACTTCCATACCTAGCTTTGCAATCCCCACCCATATCAAATTTGCCCCACATTTGTCTAAATATCATCAGTCCAGTGATCACAAAGTGAAAAATAAATCATAGGAGGCTGATTTGAGACACAAACACTCCAGTGTCACCCTATGCAACACATGGGACTAACCCTTTCGGGTTAAATGAGGCACGAAGCGCACAGGGACAGCAAATACATCTCACTCTCAAGGTGTTAGAGCATGAGGAAGCCTCAGACACAGCACAAGGCTCTAGGCTGGTGGGGAAGGATGCTGTGGAGCAGCCTGCTGCCTGCAGTGACACTGCATGCTGCCACAGCCACTTCCCTCGACCCCTGACCAGGGAAAAACATCATGATCAGTGAGAAGCCCTCAAGCCGCTCGCGTTGAAGTGACACCAGCCTGGCTAGAGCAATGAGACCAAACCTCTGTGACCCTGAAAGCTCCCGCTGTGCTCGCGGCTGCCAGCAATCCTCTGAGCAGTGCTCTGCTCTGATTTAAAGGCATCCTCTTAGACAGGAAGCTGACCCACGTGCCCGGAGCACCGAAAGCGTTATTGCCCTTTTCTGCTCTACTGCTGTCTGGCAAAGCTTAGCAGAATGAAGTGCGGCCGCTTTCCTGTTGGTGCAGATCTGTTTGCTTTAGTGCAAAGCACAGCACTGCCCGCTGCTCCTGCTAGATGCCCTTTTCTCTGTGCTTCTATTCTCTGCATCAGCAGTTTTGAAACAATTCTATTTCAGCTCTCATGCTGGACTAAATCTGAGGGGTCTCTCCACTCTTTAAGGGACAATGTTCTTGCAGATCAGTTCCCCAAAGACTTCAAATGTTATTCCTCTGAAAAATAACAGCAGGTTGTCATACTGACCGCCAGCCTCCCTGTCCTTTTATTGCTGAGCCAACATCATTTTTGGACCTCTTGTCCCGCTACAACTGAAACCCAATTAAAATTCCAGGTGGGAGGCATTTCTCTGATGGCAAACCCATCTACTGGCAAGATTTTCTCCCCTTTCCTATTTAATGCTCATAGCTTCAAAAGCATCATGACTTGAGAAGGTAGAAGGGGACAGAGGGGCCTGAAATGCACCCGCCATTGGGGTCAGCACCGTGCTGCTTTGCTGCGATAACCACACAACCAGGCTCACTTCCCATCCTGAACTCAGACCCTTCTGGGCTCCTCACTGCCCAGCGATACTGAGCAGCCGTAACATTTTTCCTTCTCTCTTATTTAAACAACCACCAAAGATCTCAGTTGGAGATCAATCCCATGGAAGAACAAGGCTTCTCTGCAACTCAGTTGCTATCAGCCTTGTTTATTTGTTTTGCCTTTCTCCCTGCCCCCATTTGATAGCTATCCTGAAGGTGGCAATAAGTGCCTTCCTTACAATCATGTACTTATTTAAAAGAAAATTTGATTGCCTTCTCCAGCGCAATCACACAATTTTGCAGTCTTGTCAGAAATACGGATTTAGCTACTTCAATAATTGCTTTTCTCTGAGATGAAATTTTCCTTTCTTTCCAGTCAAATCTTAATTCTATTCTAAGATGTATCTTAGGCTAACGAAGACAGAGAAAACTATTCAGTTTGCTTCCCACCTTATTCCTGCGTGGTGCTTCCCATTTGGATGCATCACAATGCCCACGGCTGCATTGCCAAGAGGGAAGAGACGATGATCTTCACCCCCATGCTCTATCCACACGTTGACAACAAAGATCCCCCAAAGCTGTTCTTCCCCAAAACGCACAGGCTCACATGGCTGCAGGACAGCCCAAGGAGCCAACCTGGGGACTTGGAGAGGGATACGGCTGTCACCTCCAGGCAGATGTGATGTACATAAAGAGTGAAATAAAGGAAACTGGAGGGAAGACAGAGCTGGTGGCAGCCTCAGCAGCACACCCCAAATGCTGCTCTGTGTTCACATCAAAACATCAAGACGTTTTTCTCCATAACTGCTGTTATGGAGAAAATGGCTGCTGTCAGGGACCAAGCAACCAGCCCAGCCCATCCCAGCAGCAGACCACCCCCCACACACAGCAAGGGAAGCCAGCAATAACACAATTACACCTATTTAAAATATCAGCTCTGTTTCACATTTCGCTAACGCAAACCACAGCTCTGCCCCAGCTCACGCTGCTCCAAAACCTCATCATCTTCCCTTTCCCCTGGAGAAAACAGTGCTGCTCAGCTCTGCTGGACGCCGTTCCCTCAGCACCTCTTAGCAGCACGGAGGTGACAGCTCACACCTCTGGCCATCCTCCCCTGCCACCTGTGACACCTGAGCCTGGCAGTGATGCAGAAGCAGTTCCTTCAGGACAAGGCACATATTGGCATTCGGCAGCACACAAAGAAAAGAGAAAAAGCAGTAAAGTTCTGTCACAGAGGTGAGAGATTCCTCATTTGTGCTCGTTCAGTGGAAGTAAAAGATTGATGAGAAAATGTGCGGAGGCTTATATATGAAAGTGCATATAAATACTTAAATAATTTATATATTTAATCTCATTATAGCAAAAATAATAATAATAAACAAAAAACAACACGGGGGAAAAACATTCCTAGTCAAAGGACATGTTCTGTCTGACCCAACTTCTCAGTACACCTGGCCAAAGCACTGGTTTCATTGCCATCCTTGTGTGGGAAGTCAGACCCATCCGCACAACCTGGACCTGATGCTCCTCTAAAAGCAGTGGGAAGGCACTGCAGAGGACTCATTGCCTCTGCCCTCCACCAAGGACACACGTAGGCAGCTTGGATCGTTTGGCAAGCCAATGCTAAGGTTAACCAGGTTCTCCTGTTATAAAGCCCCTTCCCGTTCCTTACCATTGCTCTCTTATCCTTAATCCAGCCATCTTCCCTGTGGACTCAGCTCATAGTCCTTTGGGGCTGTTGTACAGGTCCTGCAAAGCACAGCTCAGTGCTTTCTCTCCTCCCCAGTCCCAACTCCTGCTGTCAGTGACACTTATAATCTTCTTACACCGTGCCCAGGATCCACCAGCTTTATCTGCTAAATACTCTCTTTAAGTTTCTGGCAGCACTCCTGTCTCTTCTATGTTTCCTGTTCTTTCAGGTATTATAACCACAGCTGCTACTTGAATCACAGAAAAATCATCTTCATGCCCTCTCGCTCATTCCCATTCTTGTCTGTGCTTTGCTAAGTGCCTCCAGCAGTTTCCTTTGCAACATGAGCTCAGCGCTAGCCACTGACTGCTCTCCCTGCTGGTGTCTCTCGGTGGGGTTTCCTTGTTAGCACACCCCGGGCACTTGGGCTCTGTTTGCAATTGCTGTCCCCACAGACCCCAGCAGTGCCTTGTTTGGAACCCAGACTCTCAGCCTGCACACCAGGAGCTGCCTCTGCTGCTTTTGTTGCAGCACTTCTTCCCTGCTCTGTTTCTAAGTGCTGGAGATGTCTCTATGTGCAGCCCAAGTGCCCCCTGCTCCCATCTGTACCACCTCCAGGTGGAGAACCTGCCGGCTGCACAGCTCTGGGATGAACTGAAAACTGCTTTTCTGCTTCCATGCCTTAAACTGGGTCTCTGCACACTTGATCATCTTCTTCCACTACTTTGTATAAGGATCAGTTAGGAAAAAAAAAAGTCACGCAAGTTGTTTTTCCATCTGTAAGCATGATCCCAATAGGATTTATTCTGCTGACTGCTGAAGAAGAGAGCTCTAGGCACACTGCAGACACTTGATCTCAAAACTAAGATGCTGATCTGCTAGTGCAGGGCTTTTTTTTTTTTAAAAAGTTAATAGTGTTAACAACATGTAATACCACGCCTTCAGATCCCAGCTTAGGAATTTATTTTAAATTGAAAGGGAAAATGGAACAAAAAAGGCTGCTTTCCCCATTCCAAGAGACTGCATCACTGCTTTTGATGGCCCCTCTGCTTTTTGAACAAGAACCTAATTTGACACAAACGCTCTGTACGACAAACAGGAGCCTTCCCTGGGATGAGCTGCATGCTTTTTGCCCAGCCGTAGGATGCCCTGGGCAGCGCTGCCTTTGTTCCCAGCACTCTGCTGGAGGTCAGCCCAGATCCCTTCCGTAGTCTGACATCCTCCTTTACAGCCCTAAAAAGAAAACGCTGGTGACTTTCAAACGACCCCTGCACAAGGAGCAGCTCCTGGGATAAAACTTCAATATACCAGGCTCAAAAGACGAGGATTTCTGATTTCTTTCTTTTTTTTTTTTTTTTTTTTTTTAATAGAGACATGAAATATCCTCTCAAAGCACCCACTGCCATCCCCACACCTGGCTGGGGAGGCTGGCAGCGCAGCGGTGCCCCTGGGCAGGGAGCCCAGTGGGTCCCCAGCCATGCTGGAAGCCCTCAGCAAAAACAAGCCCTTCTTATCTGTTTACGGCGCTTCCAGAACCAGTGAAGCCCGGCCCTGTTTGTATTGAAAAAGAAAAGAATGACAGGCAAAGAAAAACAGTAAGACAGAAGAAAAGAAAGGGAAAAAACAGCGTCTCAGGGTCTGATTGCCAAAGTGTGGCCAATAACTGTCACATTTACATGCTCTGCTCACCCCGAGCAATTCTGTTTCTTGTTCTGTTTTGCTGCAGCTACGTAATTCGTCCTGTTTAGCGCTTCTGTATGCTTTGGCAGATAAAATATTGATCAGCCTGCCAAGAAACACAGAGTGCCATTCTGTTTTCATGTCAGAACTCTGTAATGAACTGCATTTATCAAGACCATCCTCTCTGTGAAAGGTCAGTGGTGAATGTGGCTAAACTGTGATGACAGATCATTAAT